TAAGGCCATAGTTGTGCGGCACGAGGCCAAGCTCAATTGGGCATTTATGTAAAGTGTTTGTGTTGCCTTCATTTTTAATTGTGACTTGTCAAGATTCATTGTTTTTTTGTAACAACTTCCTCGAGCGTTTTATTTTTGGCTAATTAACAACAGTTTGTTTGTTTGTGTCGTTCTCTTTTATATTTTTTATATATTTTTTATGAGGGTCCGGATGCATTCTCGCTGTAGCCGCGTAGTATTGGCCTATGCGCCCTGCAGCATTGTACGCATCATCTTTTCTGATGAGGCTACGAAGTTGTTTTGGTACCTATTTGTGTGGCTTTTCGTTTACTCCTCTCCCCTGTGTTTCATCCTCCTTCCACTTCCTTTTCCCTCTTTTTTTTTGTCTCCACCGCCACTATGCGCCGGGGCCGGGCCGATGCGTCCCTCGGAAGTAACTGAAGTGCATCCTCGTCATGCTTGAGGGCGCGGCAGCACTCAAAGCTGCGCGCAAGGGGCTCGAGGGGAAAAATGTGAATATTTATGAAGGCAATTTCCAGTCTTTTGTTGTGCGGTGCCACTGGCAGGGTTGGTGACTTCCTTGCTCTCTTGCCCACCGTGTCTCCCGTTGCTCCCTTTATGCTTCTTCCCACTGCCCTCTTTTTGTCTCATCGCAAGGAACAGATTCTGCGGCTGTTGCCGCATCGCCGTCACCTATTTGAGCTTTTTGCTCCCATGGAGGATGTGCTCACTGCGGAACTCGGCCCAGTGTCGGTGGGGCACCGCGCTGCACTTGGGGAGCTGAAGCGTCGCCTCGGTATCTGCCACACGGACTTTGACTGCTGGCTGTACGCGTTCCTCGAGAACAAGAAGTTCGATGTTGATGAGACCATCGAGAAGCTCCAGCGGCGCGCCGCAATGGAGGTGCAGGAGCTTGGTGCGCACGAAATTACTGCGTTGGGCAGCAGTGTCGGTGTTGATGGGAACGCTTGCTGCACCAATGATGGGATGGCCCGCGGCGTCATCCAAATTATCGGCTGCGACAGGCGCGGGCGTGTGTGCCTGTACGTGAACACGGTGCGGGACACCTGTGAGAAGAGCCTACGCGCCGAGAAAACACGGACCTTTGATGCGATCTTGAGCTATGCGACGCGCCTGCGGCGTGATCACAAGAGTTGCCGCGTGGTGATGCTTGTGAACCAGAAGGATGCGAGTTTGTTGAAGAATATTGATCTTCCCTTCCAGGTCTCCATTGCGCTGCGCATTAGCAAGTACTACCCGGGGCTGGTGGAGAGGATATACATTGTGAACATGTCCCGCCTCCTGGCGGTGGTGGCCAAATCGGTCTTCAAGGGGTTGCCGAGAGACGTCTCAGAGCGCATTTGCATCGTGTCGGAGACGGAAATGAAGCAGGGCGCGCTGTTGCAGTGGTTTGACGCCGCAGTCATCCCTGTGGCGTTGGGAGGGACGATGGACAGGGACACACCAGAGCACTGGCGGGCGTTTGCGGACACCGTGATGAGACACTTCCGTCACCTTCAGGACGCCGTAGTGCTGCGCGGTATGAGCGTGAAGGAGTGGGAGCTGGAGGAGCTGCAGCGGGATGGGGCCGGTGGCGGAGGTGTGGAGGAGTCGTCGGTGGCACACGCGCCTCAGCTTTTTGACGCGGCAGAACAGCACCGGAACGTGAGTGGGGCTCTTTTGGCGCCACGGGCCAGCTTGAGCAGCGGAGAGGCGGCCTGGCGGGCGTGGAGCCCAGGCGACTTGCAGCTGCGTGAGTGCCTTGCCCTAGAGCAGGCGTACGCAATTTCCCGCAACGAGATTGTGGAGAGCGAATGTTTGCAGCGGAGCAGCGTCGTACAGCCCGCGTGGGAGGTGCTCCGGCGCCAGCAATGGCTGCAATGCCATGTGCGGTCGAGGCACCATCGGTTGGCTGTTTCCCTTGCAGAGGAGCGTAGATGGATGGTCCACGTCACCGGTGCTGCTGGTGCCCTTGTGGCTGTGGTGAGTGTTGGCGTGCTTTACTTCTGTTGCCTTTTGCATACGTGGATGTGGTGTCTCTTTGGCGCCTGGTGGGCCCACGCGGGTTAGGCGGACAGTCGACTGTCTCTTGCCTGCGTTATTGTGGGCTTTGCTTGAGGTGTTTTTCTTTTTTTTTGACGAGTGGGTGGCGCCATCTGCGCACGTGGCTGATCACTGCGCCTGCAGGGCTTTTTGTGGCACACACGTCTCTTTCTCTTTTCGTTCTTTTTCATTTCCCCCTTCCCACCCATATCTCATGTATGACCAAAAGAAGTGTGCGGCGCGGATGCCAGGGACCGACATGAGCACCCGCTCCGCTGGCCCGCTCGCGTCTCCGGAGGGCGACCCGTCCATCGACGTCTACCCCGACACTCTGGTGGGGCTCGCGTCGGCACCGAACGGCTCACTTGGCCCTTTCAGCACCGCGACGGACCCAACTGTGCGGTGTGGTCCACCAACCCCCGTGGATGAAAACGACGTTGATGGGCGGACCGGCGCCACCATCCACCCCGCTGCTGACTGCCTCTCGATGCAGCAGCAGCAGCAGGGGGACGCGAAGCAAAATTTCTCATCTTCCTCCCTCACCAACGCATGGGATGTGTGGCGTGAGGGGAGATCCATTGGCAGCGGATCTCCCAGCTTTTCAGGCTCTTCTTCACACCTCGACGAATGCCCCTCTCAATCACCTTCCCTGAGCGAGGACGCTGATGACCTGGACCGATTACTGAACCTCCTTTCGTACTTTTTGCCGCGTATGCAAACCAACGACGGCGGACCCGTTGCTGTGCGCGCAGACCCCAGCGCCACCACCGGGAGGTTTGGGCAGCCGAAGACGAATAGCCTCGCAAAGGCCTGCAGTTACCCTTCAGTGAGCACGGAGGAGGCGAGGTGGACTGACGAGGCAGACGACACGAAAACCTCGTTTTCTGTTCTCCTACGCTATCAATTCCCGACGGAGGATCCCCACGAGGACGTGAAGGAAGACAGAGCACATGCACCTGGCATTTGTGGCACACGACCGGTGCATCCGCAGCCCTTTCTTGTGAGCCATTCGAAGAGCCGCAAAGGTGGTGGTGGTCGCAATGGTAATGTGTTTAGTGGGACGTGCTCTGTGAGCTTTGGAGCCAAGAACAGCGTAAGAGAGAGGCAGTAGATGGATAGCGGGTGAGAGGCAGAAAGGGCGCCAACGCGATTGGTGCGCGATGGGTTTCTGGATGGGGGCTACGTCCTTCTGTGCGTGCATTTTTAATTTATTTTATACTTTGTTTTCTTTTTTTTGTTTGGTTTTTTTTTTTTTTTTGATGCCCCACACGCATGGCGACGTGTTTTTACTTTTTCTTCTTACTTTGAGGTGTGCGTGATTTTTTTCTTTGTTATATGGCCATTAAGCCGACCTCGCGATTATGAGGCGGCTTCGCATCCCGGTTCTATTCCCTGCGGCGTGAACGGTGCCCTGGGGAACGAAGAGGAGCCAACGGAAAAATAAAGAACGATGGGCCGACATGGTGGCGTTGAGGAGGCTTTTTTATTTATACCTGTGACTCTCCTGAGACCTTTCTTGTTTGACTGCGTGGCGGCGGGCGGGGGAAATCGTGTCTCGTGCCGCCCCTTTCTTGGGATGTCCGGGACGCAGCAACGCGAACGCCCATCTCATATTGCTATACGGAGTTTTTCTTCCCTTTTTTTGTCCTTGACGGTGTGCCGCGGCACTGTGTGTGTGTGTCTTGGAGCATGTGGGTGGATTGCAGGCAACCGTAGGCGTTTGTCTTCCTCACTTTAATGTTCCTGCTCATTATCCCCGATGTATGTTTTGTATACAGAGAGTGTTTGTGTGTATGTGTGTGTTTGTGGGAAAAGTGCATTTCTTCCCAAAAAAAAAAAGGCGTGGAGGCCTATTCCCATTCTTTGACGTGGTCTTTGTTTTAAGTGACCAATTGAAATGCTGGATTACCGATGCGTCTTTTTGCGTTTTATTGTGTTGTTGTTTATCTTCTTGTTCTTGCACGAGTCGTTCAATGTGGATTATATGGCCGTCCATATATATATATATATATATATATTGATGCGGGCTTTGGTTTTACGCTGTCTTTCTTTCTTTTTTTTTTTTCTTTCTAACCTTCCTGTTTGCTCAGTGCACATAGAAGTAGGTGATTAGGTGTATAGTTGGAGGGAATTTCTTTCTAATTGATCCATGGGGTCTGCGGCAATACGTTCTGTATCACCTCGCCCCTCGGACTCGCATAACGCTGGTAGCAACTGCAGCCAGCATGTTGTTGGCAGCCACAATCATACCACAGGAAATGCATCGAATGCAGAAACAGGCCACACGGTTCCACAGAGTCCCAATACGCATGAGGTGACGTTGTTGCCCATCCTTTTTTTCACGGAACCGAAGAATGCTCAGAGCAACAACATGTCGCTGGGCGTGAGTAGCGATAAGAAGGATCAACATGTTTCGTCGCCGGTTGTGCCGGGTGATGAAGTTTCTGTTGGCCTGTACGCGGACGGGAATATTGTGAGTGCGGAACGCCAGTCAACGTACAACTCGCATTGGGTGCGGCAGGCTTCCCGGAATGAGATATCAGACTCCTTTGAAGGTCGTAACAGCGATGGGCACATTTCCAATCAGCAATCTTTTCAAAAGGACGGGAGGTGTGAGGGATTATTACATAAAAGACGCAGCAACGAATTTCATCGTACCGGCCCACGTGTGTGTTTAGGAAGTTCCCTCTCGGCGCCCGAAATGCATCACAACAGTAAAATAGGTTCCTTGTCTAGTATCCTGCAACGGGGGAGTTCCACCAGGCACGTCCGAAGTGCTGGCGCTAGCGGAGTGTTTTTATCATCAGAGGATGGGTGGAACGAGGATGACAACAACCCTGCCATGATAAAAACGCCTTCCTTAAAATGCTTACAGGAGGCTGAGAGTGTGGTGGTGGCGTTGGAGGACGCTGAGGAGAAGGAAAGGCAGAGAATTATAAAATTGATAGAAGAAATGAAGGAGCATAAACTTCAGTTAATTTCCACGATATCTTCAGCCTTTTTGCCCCCATGTGAGTGATACCACTTGGGAATACACATTGAAAAATATATAAATACGGTCTTTTTTTTTTTGTCCTTTTTTTGTAGAATTGTGAAAACGCCAAATGATTTTTTGTTTTCTTCTTTTTCTTTTCTCTTCTTTGAGAACCTCCACAGGCGTTGAGGGGGAGAAGAGGGCAATAAAAGTGAATGGATGAGCAGGCAAATGTAAAAAGTTATACAAACACACATACAGACACGCAAAGGTTAATTACGTCAGGGGTTTTTTGTAGATGTCTGTTGACGTGCCTGAGACCCTCTCCACCTGCGCATTCCTCCTTCTTGTTTTTTTTTTTCTTTTTTTTTCATTTTATTGCCGTGTGCATCTTTCATTTATGATTAAATTTTTAAATGTTTTTTTTTTCTTCTGATTTCTTTATTATTATCATCACTTACGCCGGTATTTGTTGTGGTGAAGGCGTTTTTGTTTGATTGTGTGATGAATGCTGAACGGAGGCGAATATGACTGCAGTTAAGAGCCCCTGTTGCATGTGTGAGCCTGTATGTATACGCATATGTGTGTGTGTGTGCATGTGTATGTGAAGGGATGCGAATCTTTATTATTGTTAGAAAAAATATATATATATATGTGTATTTCTCTGAGTGCGTGTATGTATGCTCATGAAAAAGGCGGGTCTTTTGAATTGGGGGAGGGGCACTCTTTTTTTTTTTTTTTTTCTCTTCAATCTTTCTCTGTGTGTGTGTGTGTGTGTGTGTGTGGCGGCCGCTGTCTACTGCGGCTTTATTTTCTCTCTTCATGCATCTTTTTATCGCTACCTTTTCAAAGGCATAGTTTGTTTACACACTGAAATAGACTTGGCGGTAGAAACAGGTGGGGTACGGAAAGATAGACATATATATACATACATATTAATATATATATATAGTTATTTATTTGGATTGCGCACGTCCGGTTTTTTGTTTGTTTGTTTGTTTACGGACGTTGCCAGTGGGATTCCGCGTCACACGTCTGTCTGGTTGGACGGTGTGTGTGTGTGAACGTGGCAGGAAGCCGTCACAATTCCGCTTGTACGCATACAAATAAATATTTAGTGTGCCTCGGCACCTCTTTTTTTGTCTGTCTGTGCTGGTGACTAATAACAAGCGAGGTGGTTGGGTGGGTGCATGTTGCGACGTGCCCTGTTGCTTTTGGGTGGCAAACCCCCTTTGGTGCGCTGGCGACCCGTTGAATTGTCACACTTTGATGTGTGTGTCATTGGCGCTGGCCCAGCCGGCATTGCCGCCGCCCTCCGTGCTGTGGATTACAAAAAACGTGTTTGTCTTGTCGAGGCAAAACGCGTGGGCGGTTGTGACTTGTGGAACGGCGCGCTGCAGTCAAAAGTAATGTGGGAGATGTCGAACTTCTTTGCGAAGGCGAATGGCAGCGGGGCACTGCGGGTGTATAGCACCGTCATCTCGAGCTTCATGGAGCCGGACGAGGAGAAAATGCGGGAGTCACTTGTCCAAGCCAGCGAAGTGCGGGAGAAGCAGATCATCGAGGCACTGCGGGCGGCGAACGTTTCTCTGATGTACGGCAGGGCATTCTTTGCGAGCCCACACCAGGTGGAGGTGCGAAACCGAGAAACGAAGGAGTACCACGCCGTCACGGCCGACTACTTCATCATCGCGACGGGGTCTACGCCGAAAGAACACCCGTACGTGAAGACGGACCAAAAACGAGTCGTGACATCCGACGAGTTGATGATGATGCCGCTTCCGAAGAGCATGGTGATTGTCGGCGGCGGTGTGCTTGGCAGCGAGTTTGCCACCATCTACGCCCGCCTTGGCAAGACGAAGGTGTACCTGATTGACAAGGAGAAGTGCATCATGCCGAAGGAGGATGATGACATTGTGGAGAGGATACAGCAAAGCATGGAGAACCATGGGGTGGTGATTCACCAGGACTCCGTGCTGTATGACATGCAGTCATGGGAGGAGGATGACGCGGAAATGCAGGCACACCCAGAGGACCCTACGCAGCGCAGTGGTGTGCGCTACAGTATCATGAACCGGCGGACGCGGGAGATCGAGACGTACGAGGTAGAACGAGCCCTCATCGCCATTGGGCGGAAGCCGAATTATATCGGCCTCGGCCTTTACAATGCGGGTTGTAAAGTGCGGGAGGGGGCACTTGTGCTTAATCCATTTGGCAAGTGTGTCGACCAGGATCATATATACGCCATTGGGGACGCGGCGAACGACTCCAAGCTGGTGAGTGTCGGGGAGGCAAAGGGGCGACTCGTGGTGGATCACATATTTGGTGTGCAGCAGACGTCACCCCTTCGACACGACTTCACACGACTTATTTTTCTCACCATCGCCGTGGCATCCGTGGGCATGAATGAGAAGGAGTGCCAGCGGCAGAGGATTTCTTACGTCATGGCGAAGTATGGGTTTGAACTCTGCAGCCGCGCCGTTGCTGCCGACAACACCGACGGTTTTGTGAAGATTCTGGCCACGAATGACAGCAAGAAGACGTTGCTGGGTGTTCGGGCACTGGGCATGAACGCGAGCACAATTATTGAGCTTGCCTCGGCTGCCATTAGACGCAATCAATCGGCGTATCAACTGAGCGAACTTCTCACGGCATACCCGTCCGTGTCGCAGGCCTTTCTGGAATGTCTCCGCGTCATTTTGGGCTCCTCCACACTGAAGCCAGGCACCTTCCCCGGCCTCGTTTGCCAAACGTGGACACCGCCGGACTACGAACGCGGGCGCGCCTACACGTCCTCCTCTGCGGCGCAAAACCCGCCACGAGGAGACGCGACTTCCCCATAAGAAAGGAAGGGACATGCGAAAGTAAAAGATTTCATTTCATGGAAAAATGCTCCGACCCTCGACGGGGGACCAATTTTTTTTTCCTTTTTTTTGCAGTGAAGAAAGTGACAAATGCGGTAGAGATTTCCCTCAGGGCAGGCAAAGAAACGGAGCCCTCAGCGCCATCTCTGTTTACGCTATTCTCCTTCTTTTACCCCTCTTTTTTTTTTTTTTGGAAAGGACACCCTTCAACGCGTATACACAAGCTACATGTAGAGAGAAATGGGAATGTACTGCACAGGACCAAAAACGTATGCGTGTGCATGTACGGCTGTTTTTCCGTTTTCCTTTTTTTCTTTTTGACTGTTTCACTTTGCTTGGTGCGTATATCAAAGTGCCGCTGCCTTCTTCCCCCCCCCCTTTTGCCTCAGTTGCCGTTTGTGGCCGGTGCTGTTTTGGCTTCATTCATTTGAATCAACACCAACAGGGAAAAAAAAAAAAAAAGGTGCAAAATTAAAAGGAAAAACAAAAACAAAAACAAAAAAGAACACTTTTCCAACCCCTTTTTTTGTGCTTTTGTGCGATGCTGCGGAGATCGTGGGCATGGCGCAAAATGCCTGTTGAGGTGACACGCAACACCTCCAAATTGCCTCACTTTGATGTATGTGTCATTGGTGGCGGCCCTGCCGGTGTCGCTGCCGCCCTGCGAGCCGTGGACTACAGAAAGCGGGTGTGTCTTGTTGAGGCCAGCCGTGTCGGAGGCGTGGATCTTTGGGACGGCACACTGCAGTCCAAGACACTGTGGGAGATGGCCAAGTACGCCTCACGTCTCTCTGGGCCGGCAGCACAACGTCTGTTTGAGGAGGACGCTGTCGCAGGAGTGAAAAACAAAATCAGCGACGCGCGGGTGCTCCAGGCGTTGCAGGATGTCAGTGGGGTTAGGGAACAGCAGTTGCTGGACGCGTTACGCACCGCAGGGGTGGAAATTGTGTTTGGAAAAGGGATGTTCTCCTCACCAAATGAGTTGGATGTGCACAGCACTGGAAGCGGTGTGTATAATGTGGTCCGCGCCGATTATTTTATTATCGCCACCGGCGGAGTGCCGCGTACACAATTTCACATGGAGGCGGATGGTCGACGTATTGTAACGACGGAAACCATTATGCGACTGCCGATTCCGTCAAGTCTTGTTATCATCGGTGCTGGGGCGATTGGTTGTGAGTTTGCCAGCATCTACGCCAACTTGGGCCGTACCAAAGTTTCTCTTGTGGACAGAACCCCACGCATCCTGCAGGTGGAAGACGAAGACATCTCACAGTTTGTGCAGGATCAACTTGTACGGCTTGGCGTGACGATTCACAGCAACTGCACTCTTTTTGACTTGGAGTCATGGGGCGATAACGAGGAGGAGGGTGGCTGCATTTACAGTGTACGGAAGAATGACATCGATGTTGTCAGCCCCGTTGAGACCTACGAGGCAGAGCGTGCGCTAATTTCCGTAGGTCGCGTGCCAAATGTATCAGGGCTTGGGTTGGAGAACACATCATGTAAAGTAACTGATGGGCGGCTTGTCGTGGATGCTTTTAACCGTTGCTTGCCACACAAACATATCTACGCCATTGGTGACGTGTGTGCTCGTCGAGCACTTGTGAATTTGGGGGAAGCGCAGGGCCGCGGCGCCATTGATCATATCTACAGTGAGAAACCCGAGAAGTCAATTAACGCTGAGGCACTGACAAACCTGTCAACCATTTTATTTTTAGACGAGGAGTTGGCGTGTGTGGGACTCAATGAGCAGCAGTGCCGCGCTCGTAGTTTGGGCTACATTGTGGCACGCTACGGGTACGGTCACCTGAGCCGCGCTCTTGCCATGGGCAACACAACAGGTTTCTGCAAGGTCATTGTTACAAGTGATAGTGAGAAGCGACTGCTTGGTGTTCGTGCCTTTGGTGTGCATGCGGGCAGCATCATTGAAGTAGCATCGCTTTCCATCCGACGTTTAGAATCGGCGTACGAGTTGCTGAAATTAACCCCGTCATATCCGTCAGCGGTGCAAGGGTTAGTTGAGTGCATTCGTATGATACTTGGCCGCTCCGCATTGAAGCCCAACACCACCCCAGACGCGACACTTAAAGTCTGGCACCCACCGCACTTCCGCCGTGGGCGTGAGTACATTGATGAGACCGGCTACGAGGAGTCAGTAATGAATTCCGATGATGTGAAGATTGCAAGGACGTAGCATGCCGTTTTTATTGGTCTCTCAGAGGAACAAGTGGGCAACAAAGTGAAGGGGTGTTCTGCGGGTTTTGCTGGTGATGACACTATGCCAACAAATTAACTTCTTTTTTGTGTGTTTCCCCCCCCTTCCTTTTTTCGTATGTATGGTGCGATGCGTGGCGGTTTTTGTTTCTCCTTTGCGTCTGTGCGAGAAGTTTTTTTTTGTTATTATTTATTGACGCCACCAGCCCTTTTATGCCGGGAAACTGCCCGCCTCGCTCTGTATTTGTCTGCGTCTCTACCACTCTTATGTGTCCTTTCCTCTTTTTCTTGCTGTGCCCACGCAAAGACTGCCTCACCGCATTGTTTTCTCACGCACGAAGGGAGAGAGAAAGAGAGAAGTAAAGAAAAAATATATAATATTTGGAGTTGGGGGGGCTGCGCCGGTGCTGTTTTTAGCGGGCCGTGAGAAGTAGAGGAAAAAAAAAGAGTGTGGTTGATTGATTGGTGTAGGAGGCGACAGGACGCAAATATTAACGCTGCGCGGGCACCGTGTTGTTTCGACGGGTTCTTTTCCCGCGTGCATCACTGACCGCGGCACGAGACGCTGCTGGGGAAAACCCGATCGGAGCCTTTAAAAAAAAAAAAAAAAGAGGGGGGGGGAAAAGGAATAGAAGTAAAAGAAAGCACAACATACAGCAAGAAGGAAAGAGAGAGAGAGAAAAGGGGATTGAGGGCGGTGTTTGTTGGGAACAGAAATAACGCAGGGCCGCTTGTGAGGAAGTGGAGGGGAGAAGGTCTGAATGGCGAAAGGACAGGAGATGGCGATCAATTTAGACGACATTATTGAGAGGCTCTTACTGCATCCCTCTCATAATGGTGCCGCGGCCTTGGCTTCCGCCTCCATAGAGAACCCTGTTGGCCGTCAATGCAAATACAGCCGTCAGTCACGTCTCACTGCCTTCAAGAACGCACAGGCGATGGATTCGTATCGTCAATTAAACGAAATGTCGTCACTGAAGGAGTTGTCAGAGGTAGAGGTACGTTACCTCGTCATACAGGCACGTATGATCTTTATGTCACAGCCGATGCTTGTAGAAGTAACAGCACCGGTCCGAATTTGTGGTGATGTACATGGGCAGTACCACGACCTTCTACGTCTTTTTGATCTTGGCGGCTATCCACCGGAGGCCAACTACCTCTTTCTTGGTGACTACGTAGACCGGGGCGACCAGTCCATTGAGACCATCTGTCTTTTGTT